CACCTACAACGGTCCGCCCGCCTCGCCCACCCTCTCGCACGACGCCTCGCCGCTCTCGCAGGCGCGGAGCCGCGCCACCAGCAACCTCTTCTCCAAGCTCACCTCCAAGCTCACGCGCAGGTAAGGCGAGCCCGCGCCCGGTTTGGCGTCACGCCCCCCCGAGCCAATCGGCGCTCCGCAATGTCGTGCGGCGGGCGACGGACTAAGCGGGTCGCCGGCCGCTGCCTGCCTGCCTGCTTACCTGATCGTGGAAAGAGAACAAAAAGCAAAGGAAAGCTGTGACCGCATTTCGTGGTTAGCTTAGCTTAGTTAGCGCTCAGATGGGACTCGCTGGACTCGACGGCCTTTCAGCTTGACTTCTTTCATTTTTCGAATGTTTTATATGATTGGCATCTCATTCATTCGCTCCACGGAGGGTTTGGCGTTCAGCAGCTCTTGCGAAAACGAAGACGACTTCTCCCTTACAAGTCATCATTTTTGTGATTACAAAAGTTGACATTTAGGAGGGGGGAAAAAAAGGACACATTGTTCCAAAAAAAAAAAAAAAATCCAAATATGTATTTTGCAAAATGCTTAATTCTTATTGTACAAACAGAATCGTAATCAGAATACCGCGCATCGAATTGTAGGGGCACATCTAATTTAAAAATAATTTAAAAAACGTAAGTCGGATGCAAAAGGCCCGCATCGAGCCCAACGTGGCGGCGAGACAAAACGACTTCCAAAGCAGCGGGCAGGTCAGCCGTCGTCGTGCACCATCAATTCTCGTCAACTTCTCGGAGTTGTTTTTGGCTACCGCGCATCCTCGTTGTTTTTGCTCCTGCCGCTGGCCGCCGACGTCCAACCGGGGGGGGGGGCCATCGTTTGACGCTTGTCTCTCTCTTTTGTTCTCCTTGTGTGTGGTTGTGTTTTAGAAACATGTCGTTCAGGTTTACCAAAAGGTAGGACCAGTACTGCCTGCGCTGTCGCACCCCCGCTGGCACGCCACTAACACGCCGCCGGGCTGCACGCGCGCAAACACACACACGCGCGTGCTACATGCTACATGCTAGTTTCACAATTCCTTCAAATTACACCCAAATGAATCGCGATTTCCTCCGATCATTTCCATGCCTTCTCCTTTTGATGTAGACCACACCGTCAAACGAACACCAAAAAAAAAAAAAAAAAAAAAAAAAAAAGAGAAATAAACCAAACATCCAGTGGCCAAACCAACGCCGTTCGAATGATCTGGCATTGCGACGACTTTTCAAGGACAAAGAGTCCGAATCGAGATCACAACGCAAAGCAAAGAACTCTGCGGCGGGAATGTGAGCCAGTCGGCGCGGAGAACTTCAAGTTGGCCGTTGGCAAATACGTCAACGTTCGTTTTGGTCGCCACGTGCTCCGGTCATTCGTGCGAACCTTAAAAAAAACACGTCGGCGTCGAGGCAATTGTGCACGAGCGGGCCTGCTTGACGGCAGGAAATGAGCCAAGCGTCAAGTTCCGAGTGGGCGGCCACCGGAGGGCGCCAAAAAACCGACAAACAGCATTCAGCAGTCCAGCGAGTCCTTCGCCGCCGTTTTGTATCCTCTCCCATGTATGATGTCGTTTTCTCGTGAGGAGCGCAAATATTTGGACGTCGGAGTTCCATCATCGGCCCACCTCAAAACGTCAGCTCATATCGCGTGATTCTCGCACTCAACAAGACGTTGCACCCGATGGGCGTTGTGCTTCTCCTTCTGGTGCAAAAAGAAGGCCGCCATACAATTGCCGCGTGTTTATCCTGCGCTTTCACAACGGCCGGAACGTTGAACATCAAATGACAAAAGTCATAACAGAAAATAGGATAAAAAAAATCCATGCGCCTGAATATTATTCTCTCGACGTGTTTGTGATCAACGATCTGGCGCGCGCTTTTTATTTCTTGTTTTTTTTTTTTTTTTTAAATGGCTGCAGCATTGGTGCTCATTTGCGGTCGATCGTTTTTTCTGGAAGTCGCGGTTAGCGGGGAGCCGAAGCCCAGAGAAGAAGCGGGTCTTTTTTATTGTGCGGGGGGGGGGGTGCTCTGTTTCATCCCCAGCACTGCTACCAGCTCGGTGTAAAAGGGGCATCGTGCAAGGACTTGCTTGTTGAACTTTTTTTTTCCCCTCGTGAGGCTCATGTGGAGCTTTTTCTTTTTTTTTTTGTCTTTTTGTGTCGGTTGAACGTGAGTGAGCTTTCACGATCCACATCCTCTTCTTGTTCTTGTCTTCTTCCTCCTCCTCCTCCTCCTCCTCGTCTTCGGCTTGTCACGCGTCCCTCAGAGTCTCCACAGAGTTTGAGAGAAACGGGAGACTGGAGGGCTCAAGGTGAGCTCGACCGGGCCAAAACCTTCCCGTCAAGTGGCGCCGGCAAGGAATCAAAAAATGGCGTATCAGGAGCGGAACGGCCGCGCCGCCGTCACAGATTTGCACCGTGTGTGTGTGAAAGGGGCCCATCACCTCAAATGAAATCCTGGCGAATTCGATGCCACGGGCGTGCGAAACTTGAATCCCCGGGCCAGGTTTCACACAGCCGCCGTCTCGTCTTTGACGTGTCGTCAAAATCCGCAGATGGGCCTCACCGCCCGATTCTCTTTGGCGGAGTTTCCGCGAAATTGCGGCCTTGGTCGTGACACTTTTCCCCGGACCTCAGCAAAGCTGAAATATTAACGCCACCGTGTGTACCGAGGGACTGCGCCACTTCATTCATTTCTCCCCCAAAAGTCCCAACAAAATCTCTGCCTCGAAACGTCCTCAAATGTTGCCGCACGCCCCAGTCCGCGCAAAAATAATTTGGTACGATGACCCCGGGAGGAAAAACTCGGTGAATCGATTTTTCAGCCAATCGTTTTGGAAAGATAGAATGACGAAAAGAACGGTGCTGGTCCCTTCATGTTTGCAACAACAAAAATGTGAATTTCAGGCAGACCGCAAGATTGCACTTTTATCGGAAAAGAAGAATATGTCGCCGTTTTATCCTGCAAAAAAATAAAATAAAAACGTGGGCGATGATGATTGTTTTGAAAAGCGGTGGCCCTTTGGCCGACTGATGAATCGTTTGGGCCGACTTAAAATGAAGATCATGTGCTATTGTTGGCTCGTCGCACGCAGCCTAGCCACCACGTTGGACTCCATTTGAATCCCCCACAATGCACTTCAGCAGATGACGCTTTCCTTCTGACACCCACGTCACTCACCAGGCCAAGCTCCGCCTTCTCAGGTGGCGCACACTCACTCACTCACTCACTCACTCAAAGTCACGCACAACGCGGAAGGCGAAAATGGCGTTCCCAGGCAGTGGCCGACGACATCTGCACTTGACGTGCTCATTTTGGTGTTTAATAAGGCCGACTCCATTTTTACCCGATTCGTCGGTAGGATCTTTTTTTTTCCCCCCCAAAAAAAATATCGTCTCAGTGCCCCATTCTATCTTTTGTCTACATCTATTGGTAGCTTTCACACACCGAAGCCAAGGTTGGCCCCTTTCACGCTACCCATCAAAGCGGTACAAAAACAATGTTAGGGTTGACCCACAAATTTTTTTCCCGCCTTGTGAGATCGCAACAGGTTGCATGACCGCCGTGTGAAAACCCGGGACGGCTGTGTGAAATGTAACACCCGACAGCGCCACGTTGTGCCGAAAGCAATTGTCGCCGTCCGACAGCTCGATTAAATGCCGGCTCGCTTGTTCCGTCCCTGATGTGCCAAGTTTGCATGAATCACAACGTGAAAGGGGCTACGGCGTCCATACGGTTCCCCCCGCATCTCAAGATTTTTTGATTTTTATTTTTTTTTTATTAATGAGAAAAAACTTTTGTGAATCCGTTTGGTTGGCTGCTGAATACGTTTGTTTGGTTGGCTGCATGACGTTGATGCCGTTGCGCTTTTTTTTCCTCCCCCCGTTGTTGCTCTTTCTGCATGTTGCCGTGTCACTTTCTTACAAACAACCGCCTGCCCTTACCTCCCCCCAACCCCCCTTTCATGCCTGCTACAGCATGGTCCATTTTGAGTTGATTCTTCATTTGGTTGCCTTTCATTCTCGACATGATGCAAAAAGTCCACAGCTGGTTTAATGGACAAAATGAGATTTTTCATTTTGTCCCCACAAAATAGTCTTGGCCACAAGTTGACAGTTTGTGAGCCTCCATTTTTGTGGCCACAAAACATTCTTCAGCTCAATTTTGTAACTCTAAGTTTGCGTTTAGCGCCCGTAATTTGTATTTTGTGATCATAAATGAGTATTTTTGATCAGATACGTTTATTTCTTCACCGCGAATGAGCATTTTGTGGCCACGATTTCACATTTTGTGATCCTAAATTTGTGTTTTGCGGCCACAATGTAGCACTTGATGTCAAAGCAGCATCAGATTGCTTTTGGGGCGACAAAATAATCTTGAGCGCGGGTTAAGAGTTTCATCAATGAGTATTTTGTGGCCACGACCGACATCTCTCCATTTAAAAAAAAAACTGTTTTTTTCTCCTCCCCGGTCTGCGATGATTGACGCGGCTCCGTGGCGTGTCCCCGCAGTCGCCACGTGCCCGTCGGGGAAGCCAAGGGCGAGGGCAAGGACGGCAAGCCGCGCTCGCTGCGCTTCACGTGGAGCATGAGGACCACCAGCTCCATGGAGCCGGCCGACATCATGCGGGAGATCCGCAAAGTGCTGGACGCCAACAACTGCGACTACGAGCAGCAGGAGAGCTTCCTGCTGCTGTGCGTGCACGGCGACGGGCGGGCCGAGAACCTGGTCCAGTGGGAGATGGAGGTGTGCAAGCTGCCGCGCCTCTCGCTCAACGGCGTGCGCTTCAAGAGGATAACCGGCTCGTCCATGGCCTTCAAGAACATTGCCTCCAAGGTGGCCAACGAGCTCAAGCTATGAGGGGCCGCCAGCCCGGCCGTACAATCTCCCGCGTAGCAACTTTCCAACAGCTCTACTTTTTTAAGACACAAAAAACAAGACCAGAGAAGTATGTCATGAGTCGAAATCATGTACCTTTTTGTTTCCTTTTTTGGGCAATAATATCACTCGACCGCCGACTACTTGCTCCTTCTGGCCACACGGGGGCGACCTAGTTGATTTGTGTCCTGCTGTGAACTGTGGACGCAAACGAAGAAGAATTTCTAGTCTTATTTATTTTCTCTTTTCTTTCCCCCGTCCCACTCCCGAAAAAAGATTAAAATCACCATGTAGCTTTTTTTCTTGTTGTTGTTTTCCGTGTAAATAAGACCTCGCACCGACAATGCTCTTTGTGTTTTTTTTTGTTTTTTGTTTTTTTTTTTTGTTTTTCATTTTGCATTTGGGGTGGAAACGTTACCAAAAAATAATAGTAATGACATTGAGCACCAGATGCGTTGGTAAAGGTCACATGACCGTGACCCCATTAAACGCGTCAAAGTGGCAACTTGGACACGAGCTCTTCATTTCTTCAAATTTGACGTTTTCTACATCCAAGTGTTCCTTCTGGCCGGATGGCTCATTTTGCATCGTGTTACTCTTCCCGTATGTGCTTTAGGCCACTTCCTGTTCCTATTTTGCGGCCATTCACTGGGCAGGAATGAGTATCGACCGGGTATCTGCGGCAGGCCAATACCGGCATTGTTTGAAAGGTATCGAGTACTCCTAAGGACTGCAGACACCGGCCACCGATACCAACAGGCCCCAAAAACTTCCAAGTCCTATTCTGCAGGAGTTGCCGTTGTACTGTGACACTTTGTCATGTCGGCCAATCATCTGTGTCCGAAACATCTTTGGTTACCATTTTTTGTCATTGCGCTCGATCAAAATTACCGGAGATGCTCAAAAATACTTGGATCTATATTAATCTGGGAAAAAAATCCCCGATATCCGCCTTTTCCTCCTTTGGTTCAAATTCCACATTTTGTGTGGCTTTTCACTTAGCACATGAATGTGCCATACTTCCGGGATACCAAAATGAGGTCAAAGTTTTGGGACCAAAGTATCAAGACACCTTTTAGAAGTGAAAAGGAGAATGTTGATCTTGAGCAAAAGGTATTCGGACACCTATGAGAGAACCCAAACACAAATTTTTGTTTAAAATGAGGGGAAATGTGGAGCTTGGCATGCTAAAAAAAGTGAACAATAAGTATTGGGATCATGGGGGGGTTCTCTTAGTGCATTTAACAAAAACAAGCAGGACAAATTCTTTTCAGGAACATTGTATTTCAGATCCATCTTTTCGATACACCGTTCGGGGGCGGAGCGGCGAGGAGAGCGCATTGTGGGACGGTCCAAGCAAAGCGGGCCAAGATTGTGGACGGTTCCCCGCCGCATGCTCGAGGTTCTACTTTTGCGCGGGCACCAGGTCGTCGATGGGCTGGCCTTTCTCCAGCTTCTTCTCCATGTCCACCAGCAGCCTGACGCCGTCCACCACCATCTGGACCAGCTCCACCTCCGAGAAACCCAGACGGTCGGCGTTGGAGATGTCGAAAACGCCGCCCACCGCCGCGGTGTCCACGCCGCCTGCACGCAGGACCGTGCGGAAACACAACTTAAGAGGAGCGGACGCCTGGAATGCGCCGCGCAGCGACGGCTAGCTTTTAGATATATGTATAGAAAGTCAACCCCCCAAAAAATCACATTTTGTCAAAATCACATTCAGTCCTGTGACCTTTCTTTTATATGAAGTCAACCAAAAAAATGAACATTTGTGAAAATCACATTCTTGAGACTTTACAGGAGAAAAAAAAATCTACCAAAAAAAAGCCAATTTTGTCCAAATCACATTCAGTCCTTTGACTCTTTATAAAGTCACCCCCCCAAATTTTTGTTCATCACATTTAGTCGTAACTTTTTAAAAAGTCAACCCCCAAAAAATGTGTTCATCACATTCAGTCCTGTGACTTTTGTGCGAACCCAAGCCCAAAATTGAAAAACAAAGCTTGATTTAAAAACATTGCCAATTACAAATGTAAAGAATGCTTTCTGGATAATCCACTTATCATTCTTTCTTTACATTTTCAATCACCAAGACTGGCTCATTTGATTGTATCGAAATCCAAGGAAATGAAACCTGAAGGTAAGTTTGTTTTTTGTGTTATGTAGATTTACAGCTAACATGTTTTTTTTTTTAATTCTATTCTCTTGGCAATCTTAAGAGAAAAAATGATTATATTTTGTTTCCAAGGCTTAGATGAAAAATACAACCCCCCCCCCCCCAAAAAAAAATGGCCACAGTACGAAATGTGATCTTGATCATCCGTGTATCATTTGTTCCTTCCGTTTTGGCAATCGAAAATTGACAGCAACTTTAATATCCCCCCCAAAAATAAGACAAATGTATCACATTTCAACCAGGCTGCTTGGCCAGCTGAAAGTGAGAAGAAAGGCTCGGCTGCCGTGCGGCGCCGCACCCACCGGTTCCTCTCTTCTGCAGCCGCAGGCGCTTGAGGACATCCTCGAACTTTGCGTGCTTGCTCATGTTGGGCAGCTTGACGTGGACGCCGGCCCGCAGGCCCGTCCCCAAATTAGACGGGCACGTCAGGACGTAGCCCAGGTGCTCGTTCCACATGAAGGCGTGGCCGCGATCCTTGAACAAGCTCTCGATCTGGAGCGCAAACCGCAAAAAAAAAAATAATAATTGTATTAGTAATCATAAATTGTGGTGTCAAAAGCTCATGACACTTTTGTCCTTCAAACTTTTTTTGTAAATTTGACAATTTTGAATAGTGCCCATTGTCCATTTTCATAAAGGCAATTTCGATTTCTCGGGACAAAGGTGGTATGATTTGCGTCAACGTGACATGAGCGTCGATCCCAAAAACGAGGCGGTGACGCGAGCCCCCCGTTGACCTTGGTGAGTCCGGTGCAGAATCGCTGGAAGACCTCCTTCATGTTGCCCCCCTTCTGCATGGAGATGACCCTCAGGTGGTCCTCCTCGTTCACCCACACCAGGAAGGTCTTGTTGTCGTTGTGCCTTCAACGACATCGTCACCAAGTCACAAATGTGCTGGCCAGGAGAGAGGCGGCGGTTCCTCACCAGATGCCCCTGGCGTCCGGCCAGTCTCGGGCCATCCCGGACGCCAGCAGCAGCGGCGAGACGGGCTTGTCAAACAGGAAGTGGTCGTCGATCAGCTGCTGCTGCTCGGCGTCCGTCATGTTCTTCAGGGCGTAGTACTTCCCCTTCAGGTCGCCGCTCAGGGACGCCAAAGCTGCGCGGGATGAACATGTCGCACCACAAGTTTGACAGCATTAAAAATAACCGCGGCAGCTCCCCGCACCACCACACGTGAAATTTGAGGACTTCTCCCAAGCTGAATCCGGAGTCAGAAAACCAGATTGGATTTAAAAGATGCGAATGTAGAACTCCAAAGTGGAAAGACAAGAAAAAGTTCACGAGACAGGATAGGCGGGTGTCGTGCCGCCTGCTGCCACCAGAGGTCGCCGTGAAAAGACAAGAAACGCCCACAAGACGAGCTTGCCGGGTGTCGTGCCGCGTGCTGCCACTAGAGGCCGCCCGACACCAGCACCGAAGCAGTCTCCGAATCTCCCAAGCGATGATTTCAGTGGACAGAATGATGGCGTTCCGTCTAACGGAACGACTAAGAGTACGTGCGCACCTCACAAGGTGAATGACAAGGAGCCGAGGCCGGCATAAAAAGTTGGCGAAACACGGAGAGCCCACCACGCTTGACAGCAGCAGCAGCAGCACAGCTTTTACCTTGGATGGAGAGCTCCTCCACGGCTCGGCGTTCGCCGCGGCTGCAGTGCGGTGGCAGGCAGAATCCGCGGATGCTGCGGCCCGTTCGCACGCGAGAGCTCAGCACATAGTTGGGGTCCAGGTCGTCGCCACCCTGGGGGACGGGAACAAAAAAAAAAAAAAAAAAAAACGCAACAACACGTGAAACCGCAGCAACGCCATCATGTGTTAAATGAGAGCATTTGGCTCGACTTGCCTGGAGGTGGTCGGCGTCCAGGTCGGTCTTGTGCTTGTCGGAAGGTTTGTAGCCTCCGTGGCGGTCCTGGATGACGGGATCCAGGAGCTCCTTGAACACCTCGTAGGTTTCCTCGTCGCCCGCCACGCAGCCCACCGTCATGATGAACGGGTGACCTACGCACACACACACACACACACACACACACACACACACACACACACACACACACACACACACACACACGAGGTTCAGCTGCATTCTGACAGCCTACCATCCAAGTTACACGTAATACCCACTAATGCAACCACTCCAAACAGAAGGCCAGCCTACATAGTGTGTGTTATAATAACATGCTAAATAGAGAAAAACACATATTTACTGATGCAACTATGGGGGGAAAAAAATAAAATCACACAAGGTCAAACTATACATTCGGTGAGGATGACGTTCATAGCGTGACGTCACGTTGCCGGTTCCCTTCGTTGCGCTTGGCGTGCTCATGTCCTCACCCGGGTTGTCGACGCCGGTCTGGATGACGTCATCGAGGGTGAAGCCGCTGGGCGTGCTCCTGGCGCGCAGTTTGTCGTACATGTCGGGCGTCAGCACCTTGGCCATGTGGTTGTTGTGCTGGCTCAGGTCGGGGAACTCCTGCGCCGACGTGTAGCGCAGCTTCATCTCGTTGTGCGTGTTCCCGAACGGCATGGCGGCGTCCTGAGAAGGCCGGGACGGAAGAAGAAAGAGAACGAGGACATCCAGGTTTGTGCAATAAAATGGATACGTCAAACGTCAAGGCACCTGCTTGCGAACCCGCGGCCACTAGGGGGCCCCCGAGAGACACTCCAAGCATTACGAGCTTGCCGGAGCAGTGCCACACTCAACCCTGGCGTGAATAGCAAAAAGAATACACATGGTTCTATTTGATACTCAAAAAAGCAGGGACCCACGACGCAATAATGTCATTTTTTAAGCACTTTTCAGATGTTTTCTTCATTTTCAATTAAATACGCCATCGTGTCATTGACGTCACCCTGGCCGACTAGTTAGCGCGGGGGTTTCTCCCACGTTCCAAAAACATGCACTATAGGTTGATAGAACGCTCTAAATTGCCCCGAGGTGGATTGTGAGTATGAATGGTTGTTCCTCTGTGTGCGACCGGCGATTGGCTGGCCACCAGTCGAGGGTGTACCCCGCCTGCTGTCCTAAAACGGTCGGGATAGGCTCCAGCACGTTCGCGAACCAAGTGAGGAGAAGCGGCTCGGATAATGGCTGCATGGATGAATCGTGTCGTTTTTGTCCATCCAAGTGATTGCATTTATTGCTATTGTATTACTTTTTTTTTTTTACATTCAAGTACATTTTCAGTAGGCCCTGAAGATATTCACTATCTGTTGCGATGTTGTGTATATCAACCAATCTGCTCCATGTCAAATTGCGTTTTCTTGGAAACAACGCTGCTGCATGACGTTCATGATGGATGAAGGAGCAAAAAATCAGCATTTGTGCCAGACATCAAGGAGGCCCATGGAAACAACGCTGCTGCATGACGTTCGTGAGGTGCGCGACGGATGAAGGAGCAAAAATCAGCATTTGTGCCAGACATCAAGGAGGCCCGAATGCAAATTTGCTTGGAGGCGTGAGCCCGCTGCTGTGCTGTTCATCAATGAAAGGCATTGTGTGTCCGATAATAGGCGCACCAAAGGCAACCCTTGTCATTCCATCATTTAATCCCCTCATTGCAAGACTAGTCTTGTACGTGCATACATACAAATCCAATTTCTTACCTTTTGTTTGCAGATGTGCGGCCGATTACTACAACTACTAGCCGGGACGGATACGAAGATCCCTATTTTTCCTGCAAAAGAACCCGCAATATAGGTCCAACAACAAGCTGCTCCGGCACTCTTCTCCTCCGCGTCCACCGAAAGACGCCCGCTGAGATCATCATTTATAGACGCCCCCTTCTCGACCCCCATTGGACGATGCTCGAATCCGTTCGCGACGCTGATTTGACGCCTCCTCCTCGCCCGTTTTTATTAAGGCAATATTGTGCTCATAAAATACCGGGACAGGTGGATTTTTGTATACCGGTGAAAGTAATTGTTTTGAATAAATTCATAAAAAAAGTATTTTGGGGTCAGAAGATGGATGAAGGAACGTCACAAATCATGAACCCATTATACGTCCTATGAAAACCCAAAACGCTTATGTATACAAACAATAAAAAAGCTCCTAAATTGTCATCTCATCTTGACAATGTTTGGATTAGTAACACATGAGCAATACATTACTGTTTAATAACTGTTTTATGTGTATACGCACGCATATTCTTACACGAAATTGTGTTCAGATTTAACCTGGAGTTTATGGGCTTTTTTTTATACAATCAAAGCATAAAAACACGATCTTGACAAAGTTATTCAAAATAATGTCAATATGTACTCAGGCGTTCAAAATTCCGTCAAATGGGATCTGTTTTGGACTCGGTAAAAAAAAATTATAGCGATATAATCCACCTGCACTTTCTCTTTAAAACGTCGATCTACAAATGACCTGCTCGACAGCATTTCGAATCTTTTGTCCACTCCAGGAATTCTGTTTCTCTAGGAAATGTATCCACTTCCGGTCTAATTCGCCCGTTTCCGGTGAAAGCACCGGCACGTGTGGCTACTTATGTCTACATTTCTTCGTGCTTGTAACAGTTCCGAAAAAAAAGTTCACTTTTCGAAGTGAGTGCTTTCTGTGAGACACCAAACAAGCGGCGCAGTTGACGCGGTAAGTCCAGTCATCAACGTTATCTTTATAGCATTAGCCAGGCAAGCTAACGCGGATAGCACGGAAGTAATCGCGCATGCTCGTGAACTCACTTTCACTTCTTTTGAACCCTTTCTGGACCATATAAGTCGCTCATTGTTTCTCATTATCTTCAGTGATTTATGTTTACTCTCAGACGCATTCAAATCTGTTTTGGACGTTTGATTGTAATGCTAAACCACTTAATTAATATCGTCTCCAAAATGCTCGATGCTGACAAATAGTTTTCGACAAAGCGATGTGTTCTAATTAAAGGGAGTGTAATCTTATCAGTTTTGCCCAGGGGCAAAGTACCACCCGACCTCATTTACCTTATCACCTAAGTGACGCCATTTCGCCTGTTTGACCATCTTGTGCAAAGTGAACATTCAAAAGATGTACACTCGTAATTTGTTCACTCAAAATGACAATCCGAAAAAGCGGCGTCGTGTTTAGGGTCGGAACAGATTCGCGGTGCGTCGACTCATTCAAGAGCTCGGTCACGTAGCAGTTATAAACTCAGGTTACCACTTTCCACTTTACCGTGTTTTCTTTTTGAAACGGTTTCATGAACACTGAAGACAATATACATTTCATTTAAACATCCGGCAACGTTGCCGAAGGTTTAATGGCATGGATAGTCCAAGCTATGTTTTTGTCCCACTCTTCAATGAAACAAATGGGCGCGTTTGTCAGTCCGAAATGCATTTCGGTAAACATCGCGACTAACGGACGTGTTTTGTGTTCCAGCGCATCGGGTCATGAGTTTTGTGGAGTACTCGGAGGAGATCCGCGACGGCGACATGGCCATCGTGTACCAGGGCCACGAGTCCATGATGCCGGTGAAGGTGCGGCACGGCGCCCAAACGCAGACGCGCTACGGCGCCATTCGCCATTCGGCCGACCTGATCGGAAAGCGCTACGGCGCCAAGGTGACGTGCAGCAAAGGGGGCTGGGTGTACGTTTTGCACCCCACGCCCGAGTTGTGGACCGTCACGCTACCGCACCGCACGCAGATCCTCTATACCACCGACATCGCCACCATCACGCTCATGCTGGAGCTCAAGCCGGGATCCGTCGTCTGCGAGTCAGGTGAGAAACCCTTTTGGAACTACCGGGGATGTGTTCCGCAGCCACGCGCGATATTAAAAAAAGATGATGTCACGGACACGACGATTTCAGCAAGCCTTTTGAGAGCCGTACTGAAGCATTTTCTTGGGCGCGCTGCTTCGTCATGTTTAGCGCAGGCGCTGCACGTCAGTGGATTTGGCAGCTCAAGTCGCGTCGTTACTTGCCGCTTTGTAGCAGTGCTATCCGGTGGCTGAGTCGCCTTGATGCTGGTTGCTATGGAAACGGCCAAGATGATTCAGTTGACGATCCATCTGACCCCGTCGGTCCCCACGGCGACCGCGGTTTTAGCCTTCAACTAGCTTGGCCGCTACACATAAAGCATTTCTGATGAAAAGAACAACCTGCTGTGAAGTTCAGAGCCGGATCTATTTTTGTGTAAGAGAGGGCTGTTGGCCACCCCCAAAAAAATCCTCAACCATTTGCCCTTTGAACAGAAAGCGGATGAAACAAACTCGACATCACGACCAATCTCAAAAGTGCTTTCTTGACCTGGGCGTTTCCCAAACGTTGACGAATTTTCAAGCGGCCTTTCATCCTTCTATTTTTCTGCTATGCGGCCCCTCGAACGAATAGGTTTGGCCACGCCCCCTCCAGGATCTCCTCGGTTCGTCGTCACTAAACATCATAGTGGCGTGTCTGCTGCCAAGCTTTCGCAGCTGCGGGTTTTCGTAAACTTTCGGGCCAAACTAGATGTCGGCGAAGCTAACGTACGTGTGTTTGGAAACGTCGGGGACGGTCCAGTGGTTGTGCCACCAAATAAATAATAATCGGCATCTGTTTTGGGCGTCTTGCCTCGCAGGCACGGGCAGCGGCTCTCTGTCCCACGCCATTTTGCGCACCATCGCGCCGACGGGCCACCTGCACACGGTGGAGTTCCACCAACAGCGCGCCCAGAAGGCCGAGGAGGAGTTTGCCGAGCACCGCGTGGACCACCTGGTCACCGTCACCAACGCCGACGTCTGCGAAGACGGCTTCGGGGTGACGGGCGTGGCCGACGCCGTCTTCCTGGACATCCCCGCGCCCTGGGAGGCCGTGCGGCACGCCAAGGCCGCCCTCAAAGCGCACGGTGAGCAAACGGGCCGGCGGCATGTTTGGACAAAGGTCGCCTAGCAACCGTCGTCGCGGTTTGAGGTTCCGGACGGGGGTCGGTTGAATGTGTGACAGGATCCCGCTGAGGTCGGTGCGGGTCTGTGGAACAAGGACGCGCTAAGGACGTTAGCGTTGACTTGCAGGCCGACACATTTTCATCCGCGCCGAAGGCGGTTGGGTCACACTTACCCTCAGCCCTTTTTTTTTTTAAATTCGGACACAACCGGTGATAAGGCGTTTTACGCTTCTGAAGGGTTGCGTTGTTAAAATATGAATTCTGAAATGTAGATTCCGCTCGCTTCAAACTGCACAGGAAATAAGGTCGTGTTTGGATTTGCAATTTAGTTTGGCAACAAACTTAGCGTAGCGGCTAATTTAATTGCCAGCGAAGCTAGCGTACGCGTCACCGAACTAACTTTTCTGTTCACGGTGAAGAAAACTTGATGCGGGTGTTTTTATGATTTTGTCACCGTCGGACGCCATTTTGTGGAGCGAATCGACACACTTTTTGCAAACCACTTTTTGTGGTGTCGGCGAACTTAACGCA